AATAGCCCAAGATAGAAATAACTTCTGTTTGAGATCATAGAATGTGATACAGATTCTATGATAAAATTAACAGTATCAAATTATTCAATTTGAAAATCTATGATGAAAGATCATTTATACTGTAAAAATTTGTATGAGCCAGTATTAGGCGATTCGACTAAACTAGCAGATACGAAAGATGAAAGCTGGAGGAAGTTAGGTTGAAAAACATTGGCTACAATCAGAATATGGGTTGATATCAGCATGTTCCATCATGCAACAGGAGGCAAATGCCCACATTGTTTGAGAAAAATTGATAGCATTGTATGAGAGAAAAATAGGTATGATAAAGTTATGCTTGTTAAAAAGCTTGCAACTTTACAGTACATGAATGGACGATCGATTACAGAGCACTTGAGTGATTTTCAAGATATATTTAATCAAATGACTACTATGGAGCTTAATATGGATGATGAAATGAAGGCATTATTTCTTTTAGGTTCATTATCAGATAGCTGGAATACTCTGGTTGTGACTGTTCTTAATTCAGCTCCTGATTATAAGATGACATTGGAGATGATAAATGACAGTATGCTTAATGAAGAAGCAATGCGAAAAGATGTAAACCCTGAGAATCAAGCTCTAGTTACAGAGAACAGGGGTAGAAACATCAGCAGAGGTTAGAACTCAAAAGGTCGTAGTAAATTTAAATATAGATTCAAGTCCAGAGATAAAGTGAACTATTTCTATTGTGGTAAAACATGTTATATAAAACGACACTGTAAAATCTTGAAACAAGAGCAGAGATTGAGAAAGGCAAGAGTTCGGATGATGGTAATGTTGAAGCAGTGAATTTAGATAGTGATTTAGTTATTTTGATTTGTACACATGATGATTGTAATCATGTTGGTGATCCCGGCATTGAGTGAATAATTGACACAAGAGCGACATATCATTGTGTTTCTAATAAAGAGTTGTTTATAACTTACAAAGCAAGAAATTTTGGTTGTACCAAGATGAAAAACAAGAATGTGTCACAGATTATTGGGATTGGTGATATTATTATACAAACTAGTACAAGTTGCATGTTGATTTTGATGGATGTTAAACACATTTCGAATATGAGAATAAATTTTTTTGCTATTAATGTTCTTGATAAAAAAGGATATGAGAGTCGACAAAAGAATAGGTAGTGGAAGCTTCTCAAAGGATCTATGGTAGTTGCAAAGAGTAAATTATACTACACAATGTATAAAACATACATACAATTGAACGGTAACTACGTAAATGCCATTGAGGATGATCCTTCAGCAAATTTATGGCATAAAAGGCTGGCACATATGAGCAAGAAGGGGTTACAGGTTTTGGCAAGACAGTCTCTCATTCCCTTGACCAAAGATATGTCTCTCGATTCATGTGATTATTGTTTGTTTGGTAAGCATCGTAAAGTTTCTTTTTGTAAGAGTTTTCAGAAAAAATAAAATTGATTGGAATTGATTTATTCTAAAGTATGTGGTCCTATTGAAGTTGAGTCATTAGGTGGTAGTAAGTATTTTGTTACTTTTATTGATGATGCTTTATGTAAGACTTGAGTGTATATGTTGAAAAATAAAAGTCAGGTATTGTAGTATTTTTAAAAATTTTATTCCATGGTAGAAAAAGATGATAAAATTGCCCTTGAAGTGTATTCGGATTGATAATGGTAGGGAATACACATCCAAAAACTTTGAAAAGTACTATTCAAAGCATGAAAACAAGCATGAGAGGACAGAACCTATAACACCGTAACATAATAGTATAGCTGAAAGGATGAACTACACCATTGTAAAAAAAGTCAGATGCATATTGAGGATGGTAAAATTACCAAAGCTATTCTGGGGTGAAACAATAAATGTAGCTTGTTATTTGCTTAATAGATCACCATCAGTTCCTTTGAGCTTTGACATTCCAAAAAATAGTGTGGACAGAGAAAGATAATTCATACTCTCACTTGAAAGTTTCGGATGTAAAGTATTTATGCATATGCCGAAAGAGCAAAAGTCAAAGCTTGACATTAAAGCCATATAATATGTGTTTATAAAATATGGTGATGAGAAATTTGACTACAGGATATGAGATCCAATGAAGAGAAAGATAGTCAGAAGTAGAGATGTGATCTTTCATGAAAAAAGATCATAACAGACCTTGAGAAAAATGAAAAGACTACACAAGATACTATTGAATGTGATGTTTCAACACCAACAGGGGTTCCACAGGAAAAAGCCATAGATGAAAAAAATGAGTAAGAAACAGAACTTAGGGATATGAATGAGCCAACCACAGTTAGTGATGGCCAGATGCATTAGTTTTGAATAGGAAGAGTAATTCTCTCTACTTAAAAGTGTTGAGCAGGGGGAGCTACCTTCAATATTAGGTGATGTAGAGTCTTAGCCTAGAAGATCTATTAGAGAGCACAGACCATCTACCAGGTATCCAAGTTTATATTTTATTTTAGTTATTAGTGAATGGGAGCCAAAAAGCTTTCAAGACATGTAAATTACTTCGGATAAAGAGTACTGGTTAAAACAATGAAAAAAAGATGGAGTCATTGTGAAAAAATGGTACTTATGATCTTGTTAAACTTTCGAAAGAGAAGAGATCGTTGAAAAATAAATGGGTGTTCAAGTTGAAAAAAGATGGTGACAAACTAGTGAGGTACAAAGCTCGATTGATGGTGAAAAGTTTTTCTCATAAACTAGACATCGATTTTGGTGAGATCTTCTCTTTAATTGTGAAAATGAGTTCCATTCGAGTGGTATTAGGATTAGCAACTAGTTTGAATCTTGAGCTTGAGCAATTTGATGTTAAAATTGTATTCTTACATGGTGACTTACAAGAGAAAATTTATATGAATCAGCCTGAGATTTTTGAAGTGAAAGAAAAAGAACACTTAGTTTGCAAATTGAAAAAAAAACTTGTATGGTTTAAGACAAGCTCCGCGATAATGGTACAAAAAATTTGATTCTTTTACGGTGAGTCACAACTATAAAAGAATGACAATGAATCCTTGTGTGTATGTCAAAAAAATTTTTGATGGTAACTTCATTATTCTCTTATTATATGTTAATGATATATTGATTGTGGAATAAGATGCCAGTATGGTTTACAGGTTGAAAGAACAATTGTCTAAGTCCTTTGACATGAAAGATTTGAGTCCAGCAAAGCATATTCTCAGTATGGACATTATCCAGGATAAGAGAGTTGGAAAGCTATGGTTGTCACAAGAAAAGTATGTTGAACAAGTGCTTAATAGATTCAACATGCAATATGTTAAATCAATTAACAGTCCACTTGCCAACTATTTTCATCTGAGTAAAAAATCTTATTCGATGTCTAAGAAATAGCAACTAGCTATGTCTAATATTCTTTATTTTTTTGCAGTTGATTTTTTAATGTATCTTATGATTTGTACACGGCTTGACATTGCTTATGCAATTGGTATAGCAAGTAGATTTCTTTCTAATATGGGAAAAGTTCAGTAGGAAGCAGTGAAATGAATTTTTAGATATTTGAAGGGCACCTCAAAAATATGCTTGAGTTATGGAGTTTTACAACTAATTCTAAAAGGGTTTATTAATACTGATATGATAGGTGATCTTGATGATAAGAAATTTACTTCAAGATATTTATTCACTTTTGTAAGAGAAGCTATGTCTTAGCAGTCTAAGTTAAAAAAATATGATGCTTTATCAACTACAAAGGCTGAGTATATTGTAACAATCGAAGTAGGTAAATAAATGCTTTGGAGGAAATATTTTCTTCTTGAATTGGAGTTGAATCAGAAAGAGTATATGATATTTTGTAATAGCTAAAGTGCTTTAAATTTGAGTAAGAATATCATGTACCATGCTAGAACAAAGTATATTGATGTTAGATATCATTGGTTACGTTCAGTGATTGAGAAACAATAGATGTTATTGAAGAAAGTCCATACTGATGAAAATATAACAAATATGTTGACTAAGATACTTCATAGAGAGAAGCTTGACCTCTACAGTAACTTGGTTGGAATGAGTTTCTTGACCAAGGTAAATTTCAAATGAAACTACTATGGTGATGAATCTCTTCCTAAAGGGATTGAAGGAAGATATTGTTAGGAAAATAAGGTCCAATCCCATATAATTGGTTTTGGACCAATCAAAGGCCTTGGGCTTTGGTCTTTTTTTTTACACAATGCCCTAGCTACTTAATAAAAAAAATGTGAGGTTAAAATAGTGTTACAAACCAAGAAGAGGAAGAATAAAGCCCAAAAAAAATAAGAGAAAAAACGAATGGAAAGTTTGTTGAATGGAAGTTGGTCCCTAGTGCAATTGAGCTAAAAATTTGTCAGCAAGTTTATGATTCAAAGTTTTACATTCTGAACAGTGAAGATTAAGTTTGAAGCTCTTTATGAACAAATCTAAGATGTATTTGTTGAATCACTTATTTGATGAAATTTTTATATAAAAAAAAAACTTAATATAAAATATTAGACACCCAAAATGAAGAAGAGAATATGACTCCTATAACGCTTTCAGACAAAAGAAAGCATGAGATCAATATTGTCCTAACGTATTAAAACAATGAATGTGCATTAAGACATTCAATTTGCAGTTTCATTTGATAATTTTTACTTTTTTTCTTTCACATGGGCATGTTGGAAGTGCTTGATACTCCAAAAAATAAACCAAAATAAAAAGGCAGGGCAGAAGCAACTCCAAATCTTCCCTTTCGGTCAAAAATGATGAGGATTTGTCTTGTATGGATCTTAGCTGTAGGTTGAAGAATGAGGGATCAATTGAGTTTCAAAAGAAATTCCTTTTGCTAGGCTGCTTTCAATTGACATAAAATTCTGATTGCATAAAATCCACGCAGAACTTTTCAATATTCCCAACTACTGCCTCAATTGGAATGTAGTAAAATGGGTTGTTCTTTATTATCTTTTCATGAGCAAGCAATTTAAGATGAAACATGGAATTCATAAATATAAAACAAATTCTTTCACGCCTAATTACATCACCAATTCAAAAAGTTTCGAATATTTCAATACTACTTACATATTAGGACACTTTTTTTTTTGTATTTTTAATTTAATTACATATTACAAAATAAAAATTACAAATGCAATCAGATAACACTCAAATGTATTTCAAATAGTACCTGTATGAAAGAAAAACCAATAAGCACACCAAACAAACAAATTAATCAAACAAAAGTAATAATAAGTTGGATTAAATCCTCATTTGGCGGCACTTACAGCATCAGAATTGGATGATAGTATTTCTTGAATTCAAGTGCAGCTGGGGCATCAAGTTTCACTCTGTTCTAAGCCTTGACATAATCTGTCACAAATTGATACACTGAAAAATTGAAATGAAAAATTAGGAGGCGATCAAAAAATGAGATAGGAAGGAAAACAAAATAAATGATATCTCTTCAATATCATTTCATTAGTTCCCATTAATCAACAACTACAAATAAATTTCAATATTTGAAATAGTACGTGACATAATAAGTAAGAATAAGAATTAAAAAATAAATTATTCCAACTTCTTTTTTGTTAGCTTTTATTTTATGATACATAATTTTATCATTTTATTCAAGCCAATCAAAGGTGATTGAAATTCTAATCAATATTAATATCTAATAAAATAAGCAAATAATTGGATCCAATAAATTTGGACTTGAAACGAAAATGATGAAAAGAATTTTTTAAAAATGGTACGAATTAAAATATTAAAAAAACTTGAATGAAGATTTGACAGAAAATCAAAAACAAATATATATTTGTGTTTGTTCAACAATTTTTTTATTTTATATGTGTTTGATACTAAATAGGTACAAAATACATAAATTACTAGATCTATAAATAATGGAGCAAAATAATAAGGGTACAATTAAGAATTAATATAAAATTATTAAAATTTTGGAAAACAAAGTCTTTGGCCGGAAAAAAGTAAGATGAGCTCCATCAATTTATACATTACCAAAATTATCTCTCAATTTTTTTTTTTAATTTTAACAAAACGAAAAGCAAGAAAAATAATTAAAAGAACAAAAAAAAAATATAGTAAGGAAGTGATATGTCCACTGCTTAAATTTAGCTAAAAAAATGAATTTTAGCAAAAGATTTAAGTTTAGTATAACCTGTGTAAGCGATGGAAGGTTCCTAAATGCGTGAACCTGATTTGATCAAATCACACGTCCATCAATACAAATATTTTCAATGTGAGCAATATTTGGCCAGTCCACACCAATATCCCTTTGGCATCTTTCCGATAGCTGGGGACATCCCCAAATACTCAATTCTTGTAAAGAGGTGAGAAAGTGCATCCCCTTTGGCATTGATGTCAAGTTACTGCAACTTGCAATGTACAGAGACCAAAGAGAAGTTAGGTTTTGTAGAAACTCCTCTGGCAGAGAATCTAGTTCTTCGATATCTACAAACCACATTTTTGTCAATTTGGAGAAAGGAGGGAAAAGTGAAGAAGATGATGGTTCTTCTGATGTTGTCATCTTCAATTTCATTGTCTCTTGAAGTTGCTTCCAGCTGGTTTCATTCAAATGCAGCTCCCGAACAGAAGGAAACAGCGGCATAGAGGTTAGATTAGGGCACCATCGTATTGTCAAATCTGAAAGGCAAGGGAAGTAAGGCAGCTGTGCGTTTGAAGCTTCATCAACATCACCGCTCCACCATCCCTTAAGATTTGGGCAATTCATGAGGTTGAGTTCCTCTAAGGATGGAAAAAATTTTGTTGATTTTGAAGAAGACAACTCCTTTTGCATTTCAATCTCAGACACATTCTCCAAAACTTTTAATCCTGAAAGCCTAAGAAATTTCAGGGAAGCGAGCTGATGCAGTGGTGGCAGATGCTTGCATTCAACACAATCCTCTAAAATAAGTCGAGTTAAATTGGTGATGGAGGACAGCCAGCTACAAATCTTGCTTCCTGGATACCCATACACCACAAGCATCTCTAGATTTGGGTGTGGCTCGAGGCCTTCAAAAACCAATTCAGACTTCTCATTACTTGCATCATCCTCCTCCTCCTCCTCCTCATCATCCTCATCATTCTCCTCATTTCTCCAGCTCAATTTCAAGTGTTTCAAATTCAATTTTTCTTTCAAGTAAGAAGACCCAGGCTCTGGAATAGCATTTTTTAAAGAAGAAATACGTATTTTTCCTTTGAGGTTGTTCAGTCCATTCAATTCCCTTAACTCACCAACACCCTTGCCTCTCTTTCCCACAATAAACTCATTTAACGTTCGCAGACAAGTTAGTAGCCCTAGTCCACGTGGCATGTAAGCCAAACTACCACAACCATCAATATATAGATATCTGAGGCTAACTAACCTTCTTGTTTTCCTCGGCAATTTTTCAAGATCCGAGCAACCAGAAAGACGTAATGTTTGCAAATTCTGTAGCCTACACAAAGAACTAGGCAGTTTTTTAAGATTTTCATTTCCAATAAGATAAAGACCCCTTAAATGTTTCAATTTGCCTATGGAATGCGGTAACCTCTCAATACCTGAGAAACTCAAATTCAAAGAGCGTAGGTACCTAAAATTAGAAATAAGTGCATTGCAAATGGATTGATTCAAGCTGCCATCCGGAAGAAATATTGTCCTTAGTTTCTTTGCTTTGTGCAAAGTGCTTAGAATTTTCCAAGAAGCATCTAATTCATCTTCAAATAACACATGGCGAGTTCTTTCATCTGCATTTTCTGCTTCTAGACTTGCAATGCAGTACTCAGTCCCAGCAACAGAGCATGCAAGATCATGCATTAGATCGTGCATTGTGAATCTCTTCACATTTCCCGAATCATCTTCTTCTGCAACCTGAAAAAAAGATTTCCAAAGCAAATCCATGAAATACTCATGCCCAACATCTTCTAGATCTTGGTCTCCACTTAGTGGCTGGATAAACCCTTGGGCCATCCAATACATGATCAAATCCTCAACCCAAAACTCAGTGTCCTTCAGAATTAAAGAGCAATAAGCAAAACATTGCCTCAAATGTGGTGGAAGATGATCATAACTCAACTTTAAAACTGGCATAATACCACTTTCTTGTTGAGTTATATACTTAACTATATTATTCTTCACCTTTACCCATTCAGCTTCTGTTCTTGTAAATAGTACACTTCCTATCGCCCTTAAGGCAAGAGGGACCCCTTTACACTTCTCTACAATCTCCATTCCAATTGCTTCAAAGTGTGAAGCATTAGATTCGTGGCTTTGTTCTTTAAATGCCATTTGCTTCAATAGTGACCATGATTGGCTTTTTGACAATCCTTCAAGCTCATGTGGTAAAACTGTGCTTGTGATTTCTGCAACCAGCCCACTACGAGTAGTGATAACAATCCAACTTCCCCTTGCACCACCTAATAGCAAATTTCTCAAATTGAGCCACTTTTCACGGACCTCATTCCATACATCATCTAGGACTAGCAAGTACTTCTTTCCATTAATTTTGTCTCGAAGAATATTTTGCAGCGTTTCCATCTGGAGGTCCCTTTCAGGTTTGCTTCCAGTTGCAGCCTCAATGATTTTTTCCACAATGAGTTTTAGCTCAAACTTCTCTGAGACACAAACCCACAATTTTAGCTGGAAATGTTCTCCAACATTTTTATCGTTGAACACCATTTTAGCTAATGTAGTCTTTCCTAATCCTCCAATCCCTATTATGGGAACAATTGAAACATTTTCTTCGAGTTCGGATTGTAGCAATAGTTTTACAATTTTCTTTTTATCATCATCTCTTCCAATTATTTCTTCTTCACGCACAAAGGAATAAGTTTGATCCCTCTCCTTAACTTCAAGCAGTGACTCTACCGGGCTGTCGGTAAAGTGAAATTTGGTTCTATCAGCTGCAATTTTATCTAGCCTCTTTCTAATGGCACTAACTCTATGACCCATCTTGAGACTATATGCAAGCTGGTTTGATTTGGAGAAGAAAACGCGTACCTTTTTAACCATTTCATTCCGCCTCAGTATCTGTCGCCGCAAAGCTTCAGTGGAAAAATCGTCGAGCAAGTCATCCACGTCGTAAAGCACATCTTTGAGCTGTCCGAGCCAGACCGTCACTTCATGGTTGTGGTTTCTTTGTTTCTCCTCAGCATCACGAAGCACACCTTTGATCAAGGAAAAAGTGTCTTTGAGCTTGGTGATTTCTTCTTTGATACGCCAGGGCAAACCAAGTTCTTGGTGAGCCAATGATGCCAGACCCACCAAGAGTCGTTCAGCAAAATTGAACAGGAAGCCTTCTGCCATTTCTAGATTTCTTCCTTCGCAGCAGGAAACACTAATCTCAATGAGTTGGTTTTCTTTTTTTTTTTTTTTTAAGAAATTTCAGATGGTTTTGAAAGAAAGTGATCGAAGATCAGGCGAGACAAAGTCTGAGTCAACTCCAAGTCTGAATGGTAAAAGTCTTTAAGTTTATGATGCAAGATGTGCCACGTAGGTAGGGATTATTAAAAAAAATTACAAATAAAAGTAATGGAGGATAGTATGTACAGTCAACGGTCAAAAAAATAAAGCAAAATTTTAATGGCTTGGGCCTGGGGTGAAAATTTTTGTGGCAAAAGATGGAGAAAGATATATGGAATATATATTATATTATATAATATAAATATATGGCATATCTCTCTTACAAAAACTAGTAGTTGGAGCCTTATCGGTTAAGATTAAGATTTTATCCGAGTTTGATTGATTTATAACAAACATTATTATTTTGTAGGTTTTTTTTTTAATTTGTATTTCACATGAGCTTTCTTCTTAAACGACTTTGATTTTTTTTTTTAAGTTCTTTGAATATTTATTTTTGTTTAATTTTTTTAAATTAATATAGTTGAATTATTTGATATTTTGATTATTTTTTTCAAAGTTTCAATTGGAAATTAGGAGTTTAAATTTTAAATTTATTTTTTTAATTTAAATTTGTTATATATTTGTTAAATACATATACTTTTTTCACATTGATTATATTATGTTACATATTTTAATTTTTTAAGTATGAAATTATCTTATTTGTTAAATATATATTTTTTTCATATTTATTATATTGTCTTACATATTTTAATTTTTTAAGTATCAAATTATCTTACTTGCCAAAAAAATGAAATTATTTATAATAGAACTTTATTATTTATCATATAATAGATTAAATTTTTAAATATTTACATTTTAAATATTTTTATTGATTCAATAATTGATTTATTGATTCAATTGCATCAGTAATCTACATAATATATCAATTTGAATATTCATTATTCAATCTGATTTTGATAATTATGGCTAATAAATATAGTTTTTGGCTAGCATTTTGAAATTAAAAAATTCACATAAATGATAAAACACTCTTTATCATTGTGATAATAATTTTGGGACAAATTATTCACCGATTAAAAATTTGTAGTTTAGCAACCGAAAACTTAATTCCATTTATGTTCTTATACTCTCTTTTTAATAAATTATATCTAATGAATTTAAAATTTGAATCGTAATATTTATAATTTTTTATTTTATTCCTTAGATCACAACCTTTTTTTTATTAAAAAGAAAATCATATTAGAATCATCGTTACTCTTTCACTGTTTTGTAATTCAAGATTTTTATCCAAATATTTTGGAAACAAATAAATAATTAAGAAAAAAATAAAAATTTTATAATCATCGTAACAATGAAAATGATAATTATTATTAAACTATAACTTTTGAGCCAAAAAAAAAATGTGGGTCATACTTTTCCAATATTTTTTATTTTCAAAATTTTTACCTAATTATTTATTTATTTATTTATTTTTTTCTCATCAATATTAGCATTAATTTTGACGAAATCATCCATTTTTAACAAAACAATATATTAAATTTGTTGAAGTTTAATAGAATATTAATTAAATCTAGTTTTTAAGTTTTATTTTTGTATTTACAAATCAAATTTACAATGTTAAGTTGAGATTGAATATTGCCAACTCGATAAATTTTGTCAAGACAACATTTACCTTTTCCCTTCTATCTTTCTTTTCAATTTCATGTTTTTTTCAAATTCGAGATAAAATATAATTATTAATTTTTATTAGTAATTTTGTGAATAATATTTTCTATTCAATGAATATTTGTTTTCATTCATGCCAATATTAATTATTCTTACTCCATTGCCCTTATTCATAACTTATTATTATCAAATAAGTGTGGTGGAATTAGCATCAAGGATGATGGAAGTGAAAATATCTACCATTTGAAACATTAACACTATATCTGAATTGAGGGGAAAAGAGAGAAAAGGAAAATAAAAGAAAATAATGGAACGAGAAAAAAAATTTTATTTGGATAAATTTTTAATTTAAAGGAAAGAAAAGAGATAAAAACTTAATAATTTTTAGTTTTTTTTTAATACCTCAATTTGAGAAAAAAGTTAAGAAAAGGAAAGTTGAAAAAAATTTTATTTTTATAAAAAAATTATTATATTTATATTTTTATTATGACATTACTTTTTAATTATATAATTGACACTTCCTACAAAAATAATTTTTTATTAGTATTTTATATGACACCATAGTTTATAAATATTTTATAATTTTTCAAGTTTTAACAATAAAAGAAGTTAAATTATTGTCAGAATAAATTAAAAAATTGAATTAAACACAAAATTAAGAGTAAATCAATAACTAACTAATATATTTTACCATATTAAACACGCTCAATTTTGTTTAGAAAGATTTATTTATACAAGCTAGGTAGTATAAAGATATATTTGTATTTATAAAAAAAAGTTATAATTAAAAAATATTATAATGAATTATTTTCTTTCCTTTTCATTATTTATCAAAATAATAATTGTTAGAATTATTTTTTTTCTTTATTAATTTTCATTGTCCAAACAAAATATACGTATACCTTTTTTTTTCTTTTAAAAAACTTTTATTTTCTTTCTTTACCTTTCATTTATTAATATCTATCAAAAAATAACATAACTAAAATATTTACTCAAATCGAAACTAAAATTTTCTTTTCTTTAAACTTTGATGGCTATAGTAGAGAATATCATATTTTCCTAAGCAAATAAGCACTCGTTAGAAAGGGAAACAAAGTAAGCAAAGGAAGCCCAAATGGAGTAACCATCGCCACCAGGAGCAAACCCAGTTTACCAAAGGAATTATATAAAAGAGCTAGTGACGTTCACCTTCCACTTTTACCTCAATGGAACTCTTGAATGGGATATTGGGCTCTTAAGACAATTTTGCTTCTCTCTCGTCAATCACCAATCAATCCACCCCATCTCCCATGAAAATTGTTCTTTTTATTCAGCTTTTTTTTTCAATTACATGTCCTGGGATTCTTTTTTTTTGAATAATAACAAATTCCCTAATAGTCTTTTAAAAACCTTTATAAATACAGTTAGCGCTGGCCTTATAAGAAATCATAAGATTTAGATCACTTCAAGGGTCATCTAAGTGTAGCAAATTGGCATCATTTTGTCAATGCAGTGGCTTGAAGTTGAAAGAATAATGGTTTGGTTTTGTTCATGAAAAACGATCCGAATTAGTTGGAGTATGTCTTTCTAATGATGATGATTTTATTTATTCCAATTGTATCTTCATAGTTAATGTGTTTATCTAATTGTTGTATTTCATCAGATTTTGAGAAGTGTCAATTTTGAACTTCATGTTCAATAGCCTTTCTTCACTCAACTAAAAGGTATTATTCTTTTCCAAAAATATTTATGCTAATGATTATGCTTCTATTTCATACTTTTTTTTTTGGGTTTGTGTATAAAAAATTATTACGTTCTTTATTTCTTATCTTAGTAGTTTTCCTTCTCCAATAACTAAGTTGAGACAAGGGAAATTGAACTTAAGATCTACCTTTTCTAGTAAAGGCGAAGCCATGGTTTCACTATTTGCTCTATTTTTTTATTTAGAAATAATATCTTGTCATCTACACATTTTCCTTTATATTCTATTCAAGTAAATATTTTTCTTTTTATTGTTTGTAAATGGTCTCAAAACAATAGAGGCTATTGGTGACTATAACAAGTATGCCTTACCTTTAGGCATATGTACAAATCTGGTATTGTTTGATCTTTTCTGGTATTTGCTTCGCTTCTATCTAAGAAAACCATGAGAAAATTCTGGGAAAAAAAAGGAAAAGAAAAGAAAAAAAAGAGGTGGAAATATAATTTTTTTTATAAAACATTGCTAGTATAATATTCAATAACATTTTTTTTTTTAGTTTGTCAGGTGGGGTTTAAGGGCTTAAACATTTATCAAAGTGTTTTTCTTGCTTAGTTAATTTATGTTAAATAGTTGAGTATATTTAATAAGCTTTCTTCTATATTTTTTTGCTCAGTGCTTTGATCATAATTATATCTGGAGATTTGATCCTTTTTAATAAATGCTCGATACTTAAGGTTCAAGTAATAACAGGTGTTTTTCTAATTATCCATGCTTTTTTTATCTTTCTCTTAACCATCTAGTTTCTTTGAACATTTTCATTTGGTAGGATGTTCATCATTATGCTTCATTCTTTGAGATGTTGGAAGTAGAGAGTCTTACAACAGTGTTTTCTGGAGTTAAAAACATAGATGGAGATAATAATTCTGTATGTTGTAGTCTAAGCTTTGTTATATGTGAAGTTCAAACTTTATGTAGTATCGGTGGCAATTGTTTATGTTTGTGATTCCATGTTATAAATTTTTTCCTTTACATTTATTTTGTCTTAAAAGATCAATAAAATTTAAACCTTTGGACAAATCAAAACTTTTTAAAGGGTTTTATTCATCATACTTAGGCACCATGCAAATTTTTGCTCTTTCAGGCACTTAAGTTTACATAAAGTTTTATTCAGAAGAAAAGGAAATGACCAATGGTGTGTCGTAACAGTTTTGGGAACGTCAGATGTAAAAATGAGAGTTTAAAAATCGAGGAAAATAAATAAAAAGGGGAGTCGCCACCAATCTTTGTTAGGGTGTGATTGGCCACCCAAAAGTTTATCTTTTTAATAAAACTATAAAAACAAGTTTAAAGTTTATCAAAAAGATAAATTTTGGTCTGCGAAAAATCAGGTTGGGTTCGGGAGTCGGTTACGCGTGGAAAAAGATTAGCACCCCCACAACGCCCATAAATTGGTACCATTTAATTATGCGCTATTTTCGACGTTGGATAAAAATAGTTTTAATTTGAAATTTAACACTAATTCCTTTCATTTTAAAAAAAAATTTTGCTAAAATTTTTATTTAGAAATATTGAAAAAATCTTTAAGTTAAAGAATTATCTTAAAATTCTCCAATATCTAGGCAGAATTTAAAATGACTCTTTTCGCTTAAGATTTAACACAATAATTCTTAAAATGAAATAACAATCTTTATAGAAAATAATTGTTAGTTACTCTCCAACATCTAAGCAGAGTACCAAGA